ATCCATCTTACAAACTTCCTACCGAATCTTAAAATAATAGTAAAATTTCTTTAACTTCAAAATAATGACGCGCGATTGCTACTAAACGTATTTAGCGACGCTAAATAGCCATCTTTGGGTATTTAACTTTGACTGTTCGTTAAACGTGATTAGTGCCTAAATTTTTGTTGTGCAAGACACTAAATATAATTAGCAGACTAAATGCGTTTACGTCGCTCTTAAACTGTATTTAACGACGATGCGCAAGCCGCCCTAAGTATGTTTATTTTTGGAGACAGCGCACGCCCCGTTTTTTGCACATAGCACGATGCAAAAGAATTTACTTAAATCGGACTATTACTTCCCGAGATATTCCGCAACATCTATAAAAAAAATTGAACTTCTTTTTTTGAATTCGATTTGAGATATTGCCCGGTAAAAAAACAGCACAATCTTGCCCAAATTAAAAAGTGCATTTCCAATGGAGACAGTAAAGTCTACTTAATAAGTTCACCTTAATTCCACTGACATCATAAGTAGATTACCAGAATATAAGTGTCCACTGCTGAGCAAAGGCCTCTTCTTACACGGAGTAGGTTTGTGCATTAATTACCACGCTTGCCGAAGGCAGATTGGGGATTTCAAACTATTAATTACAAGTAACTTATAAGGCTAGTTTTCCTCACTACTTATTATAATATTATAAATTGCATACTCATTAACAGTCAGTTCGGTATTTGCCAAGTTTTCTTATGTATATAAGAAGCGCCTTGACCTCCGGACCTCCTCATAAGTAAATTTTTTTAACTAAATAAGTAGCTAATTTATTTCTGGTTTGATAAAAATGTTCGACATTACAATATCTAGGTCACAGGTTCGTGTTAAGTGTTAGGCATAGACACGATTGTACATTGTCCCAGTTCACTTTTACTGCAATACTATATGACCTACTGCAGTCAATTACCTAAAGGCAAACACACAATAACTACTACAATATTTTTTTAAAGAAATTACCAAAAAAATTCAAGGCACCTAATACGGAAAAAGTTAATTTTGTATGTAAAGAATTTTCTACTTTCGTGAGCGTTAGTCCACACAAGAACTGCATTTTTTTATTGCTAGCTTAGCTATCGAAAACTACTTACGTATATAGTTCATTATTTAACCTTAAGTAGATAAACTAGCTAATCTCTCGCGAATTTACTAGCTAGGATCCTACAGATCGTAGCGTGATATTTTATAGCCTTCTTCGATAAATTGACTAACAAACACAAAAGGATTTGTTCAATTCGAACCAATAATACTGGAGATTAGTGCGCTCAAACAAACACACTCAGCTTTATAATATTAGATAAGTATTGATTACATAATTATCATCATCATCAACCTAGAGAGACCTTCCACGCTGAACAAAGGCATCATCATTAGTGTATTCGCCGAACGTCACTTGAATGTATCGGTTGCTCACGATTCTGACAATGTCACCTTTTCAACGTTTCTTTGACGCCAGCTTATGGCATTATACGTAATTGTCTTTATGCCATAACATTACCTATTTAGATACTAAATATACATACGTAACTCTTTGAATAGGTGTTATATCTTCCTCAAGAAGAAGGTTAAGACCGTTCGGGTTTTTCATACAAACTTTCAAGTCAAAATCTGGGATACTATACTAAACCGTCCAAAAAAAGCCGAACTAAAACTACCTACTTAAATTAAGGTCTTTTTTCGATAGGGGAAAATCATTAAGTACCGCCGTGGGTACTCTTACTGATTAAAACCCGTTTATTCTCCTGCTCTATCGCATATTTATCAAGGTCTTTTTTTTTTTTTTTTTTTTTGTGAGGGGAAAATCATCAAATGACTTCTCCCGCCCAGGGCCGGGCAGGAGGGAGTGTCAGACTCTTACTGACTAAAAACCCCCCTGTTCCTTCTCCTGCTCTGTGCCGAGGTCGCGGTACCTTATTGCGCTTACCCCGCAGCCCCGGCTGAACATCAGCCCTTTAGGGCCCCGTCTGTGGTGGTCTATTGGCTCTTTGAGGCGCGCGCGGAACGCTACGCGCCGTACGCTCGGGCCTGGTTCTGGTCGGGCGGCGAGCTGCCCTTACTCGCCGACCGCAGGCCCGTACTTACGGTGGCCGGAGATCGTCCCTCGATCCCCGACGCCCGTAGTGTCGCCAGTTGCGGCTGCTGGGGCGTGAGGAGGAGGATTGCTCCCTCACGCGGGCCGCCTCTCTCTTTGCGAGCATGACCGCTTCACAAGAGGAGGAGACGGCGTCCCAGTTCCTCTCACTCCGCACCATGGCCTCGACTAAGGCCGGGCGCGAGAGGTCGCCGCCGCCGATCACTTCCCTGAGGATACGGCGGTGCTCAGCCCAGGCAGGGCATACCGCTACCGTATGCTCCACCGTATCCTCTAGGTGGTCCTCACAATGACGACACTCGGGCGTTTCCTCCCGCTGAATCCGAAACAGGAACCTACCGAAGCTGCCGTGCCCGGTAAGCACCTGCGTCAGACGGAAGGTGAGGACGCCGTGGCGTCTCTCAAGCCACTCCTCAAAGAGGGGTCTTACCGCTGCTATGGTAGCGTGCCCGGCCCTCGGTTGCGACAGTCGTTGTCTCCACTCTGCCATGAGATCTCGCCGGAGCTCATTCCGCCACGCATTTATTTGGCGCGGCAGAGGATCTTCGCCCCGGCGACGCGCGTCTGCGCGCAAACTGTAGACGCGCGCGAGCGCCTTCGCTTCTAGATCCCACGGCGGTGATCCGGCAAGGAGGTTCGCCGCCTCCCCGGAGATCGTGCGATACCCGCGGATTACTCGTATAGCCATGACCCTCTGGGACGCGACCAGCGTACGAGCCGGCCGCCGCTTCAAGTCCGGCGCCCACACAGGGGCACCGTAGAGGGCCATGGATCGCACAATCCCCATATACAACCTCCGGCAGGAGGCGTTTGGCCCCCCGAGGTTGGGAAGGAGCCGCTTGAGCGCGGCCCCAGACCGTTCCAACTTAGGGGCCAAACGACGAAAATGCTCCGTGAAGTTCCATCGGCTGTCGAGGACGAGACCAAGGTACTTCATCGCCGACTCGACGCCGATGGTAACTCCTCCTGCCGTTACTTGGGACCCACCTGGAGGTGGCGCGCTCCGACGGCCATAGAAGCACATGGCCTCGGACTTGTGGAGCGCCACCTCGAGTCCCAACTGCCGGATCCTTGCAACGACTGTCGCAACCGCTTGTGACATCAGGTCGGCCGCCGCCTGATGCGACCTCCCGTTCGCCAGCACCAGCGTGTCGTCAGCATAGCAGACAATGCTGACGCCGCTCGGGAGATCGGTGCGTAGCACCCAATCGTACCCGATGTTCCACAGGAGAGGTCCCAGGACCGATCCCTGTGGGACACCGCGCGACACCTCTCGCCGATTCCACACGCCCCGGTGACCGGGGTAGATGACGCATCTGTCCGTCAAGTAAGCCTCGACTACACGACGGAGATAGGCAGGCACCCGGTGATACCGGAGTGCCTCCAAAATGCAGCTCCAGGGCAGCGAGTTAAAGGCGTTGGCGATGTCCAGAGACACCGCCACGACGACTCGCCTCCCGGCCAACGCTGTCCCCGTCGTGAGGTCCCTCACGCGCATGATGGCGTCCACCGTGGAGCGCCCTCTGCGGAAGCCGAACTGGCCGTCCGCTAAATCCGGCCCCCTTCCAGACAGGTGCCCGACGAGGCGGTCTGAGATTATCCTCTTGAAATATTTATCAAGGTCTAGAAACTTAATTAAGTACATTATTTTTTTATAATCTAATATATCATTACAAGTTTATCGTAACCAAATGCGATAGACAAGACACAATACTACACAATAATAAAAGAACACATTGAAGAACTTCAAAGCACAAAAACATAAACAAACAACATTTATAAAATTAAAAGGTACAAATGAAATCAAAAAACAAAAGCACAAAATAACAAGAAGTTAGTAAGTAAGACAGAAAGAGGCAATGTTACCTTTGCTTACTTATATAACTCTACAATCACATAAAAAATATTACCAAAACATACTTGATTAAGTTTTTAGAACTTGATAGTTGATATTTTAGGTACGAATACCAAGTTTCATTAAAAAATGGAGTTTGTTTCTTGCTCGTTCTTCTCCATTCGAATCTACAATTTGGAACGAGCACATAGCTTCACTGACGAACAGACTAACAGACTACTTCTCTATTTTGACGTTTCAAAAGTACTTATTTATGGTTTAGTCGGAATAAATGATTTTGACTTCGACTTTGAGTCGATTAGATAGTTTGCATAATTTTAGACTTGAAAGATTGTATGAAAACACGCGCCCTGCTATAGAGCATTTACTTAAGATAACATCAATAATAACATTAGGTACTTCAATTGACCCTTGAGATATAAAACAATCAAGAGTACTACAATCTAATACAATTATTTAAGGAGCCGTCAAATAAATCACTTTTATTGATATAGTACAACTCTTGTATGAGTCCAATACTTTAAGTCGGAAACGCCCACCTTTAAGGATCTTATGTTTTAATTTTAAAATGAGTTATAGTTTGATTTTGATTTATTTCATTTCCTTTAAGGTGGTCATTTAAACACAAGTTCTGGTGTGGCTGGGCAACAGAACACAGTTAGTGCATCCTGCAATTTTGTTCATTGTTTATACATATATTAGTATTCATGTGCGGCGCAAAGATCAATTCTTATTAAACGCTGTCGCTTTGTTTGTCGCTAAAATAAATTGTCCACAGTAATACAGCAAAAGTAAATTAAAGTAAATTTAATTATTTATTTTACACTTTTGCACATACATCTGTGTACAAGGTGGGCTTAATGCCACAGGCATTCTCTCCCAGTCGAACCTTTGGGCAATGCAGAGATAACAGAAGGTGCAAGAAGCAATTATAAGAAATAATTATCGTGACGATAAAGATTTACAAAACATTCACCAAATCTAAACTACTTTAAAATAACCACATTTGTTTTCCTCCAGGCCTCAACAGAAGCTGAACCAGTGTCTTCGAAGCAAACTGCTCATGATGATGAGCATTCCCTCAAGTGCGGTTGGGGCATGTTCCGACCTTTATGGCTGCAGCGGTTCAGGACTGCCAAATGGGCGCTGTTCTGGCTCTGCTGGGCTGGGGCCATACAAGGTATGTTAAGCATCAGAAATCTGATTTCAGATCAGTATGGGAATGGAACAAGCGCTTGTGTGATGCGAAAGGTCTTAGATGGAACTTCTTTTCACCTCTCTGCGCCTGAGTAAGACCGTAAAGTTTATTAGAACCTATTTTAGCTACATGTCTACACGTTCCAAAGTCTCGATACAAAGATATCTATTTAATTGGAGCCTACTCATAAAATCAGTATTGTTTTCTTTTAAAGTTTAGTTTTCTCTAAGAATATATTAACACTAGCTACTCTCACGCGGTTTCACCCGCTGCTCGGCTCCATTTGATCGTAGCGTGACGTTTTATAGCACTCAGGAACGTTTTAGCTATCTGTCAGTGAAAGAATTTTGGAAATCCTACGAGCGATTCCAAAGATTCCCCCTACATACAAACTTACAAATACGTCTTTATAACATTTGTATAGATTAGCAGAAAAACATAAAAGAATTCATGGCGATTAGCTATTCTATCTTAACAATAAGAAAAATTAAGTTTTGTTCCTTAGCTAAACCACGTCAAAATTTTCGTTAGTATTTTAGTGACGTCACACGGTACCAGCTTGCAAGATATGGTCACAGGCCAGAGTTATATTACTCATTGTTTAAAACAATAGCTTCACAACAATCAGCTCTGGACTTTGACCTTACGTCTGTCATTTTATAATTACATTACAAAATCTTTTAGTGCACAAGTGTGGGAGATATTATTTCAATTAACAAAAAAACCTACCTAATTAGTCATTTGGATCCGATTTAAGTAACTCTGTGAGTTGTAATTAAGTTCAATTTTGATTGGCAGATTTATTGATCTAATTTTGTAGTGCAGGTTTTGAAAGGTCTGTTAGAAATGGCGTCATATTAATTATTGTCCAATTATGTATTTTCCAAAATATTGCGAAAGTGAGGAATAAAGGACTTGCCATACTTTCATTCCTAATAAAAAAAATCGCTAACTCCAGTCTTCTAACTCTCTTGCCTCAAAGAGCCAATTGACCACCACAGATGGCCCAGCAGGGCCAATTTTTAGCCAGGATTAAGAGTCTAATAAAGTACCGCGGCAGCAGGAAAATAAACGGGGGGTTTTTACTTTTAGTCAGTAAGATTCTGGCGCTCTCTTTCGCCATATCCTAGGCGAGAGAAGCCATTTCATGATTTCTCCTCCGCAAAAAAATCTCCAGACAAAAAGATCATAATTAGCTATTCGTTGGCTCGTAGAAGAAAGACGATGAAATACTCTTTTAATGCGATTTACCCCGAATCGTAGGTTCGACACGTGGAACTAAACAGGTTGTTGTGGCGAAAAAACAAAAATAAAAAGAAAACGTATGACGTAACCAATCCTGTATCGCGCTATTGAAGTTAGTGCGCAGATTAACATGGATAGAAAATTCTATCAGGCATAATCACCTCACCTGGTCGGATGATCCTCCTATTGCAGATCTTAGGGAACTTTAGTCTCTACGTCCTTAAATGTCCGTGTAACCTAACCTTTCTAAGTAATCCACATCTGTAATTAAAAACGACAAGTATAATACTGTAACGAATAATATTTATCCAAAATTCTATAAATATAATAGACAGGGACTTAACGCGGATTATGAGCGATGTTCATAATGAGAAGGATAATACAATGATTGGAACAGTTACAATAATACTTGCCCACACGCTGGTCAGTGGACCTGGCTATTAATATTGTTCTGTCGACCTAGCTCCCAATGTGGACAACTTGCATAATTTCAGGTCACCTATTTTCGAATTCAAATAATATACTTAGTCGGGTCATAAGTTCTGTCAAAACCTTATATTTTTAATTTTCGATTACTGGCCAGAAATTCTTCGACTTATTTTAAAAATAGAACTTTCGCGCTTGTAGAAAATAAAAAAGAAATTATTTTTTATTCATTTTTAAATATGGAGTGGTCGAATAAAGAAGACAGAATCGCGGTTATCGCGTTGCACCGCTGTGGTTACGCGCCAAAAGACATTTTCAATATTCTTCAAAATTTGAAAATAACGTTACGGTTTGTTTATCGTACTATCAAACGATACACCGAAGAGTCAAGCTTCGAAGATCGTAAGAGAAGCGGCCGACCTCGCACAGTTCGGACACATAAGGTCATCAAAGCAGTGAAGGCGCGAATCGAACGAAATCCCGTACGTAAACAAAAAATCCTAGCTCTGCAGATGGGGCTAAGCAGAACCACTGTTAAAAGAGTACTAAATGAAGACCTGGGACTACGAGCTTATCGTAAAAAGACAGGACATTTTTTGAACGAGCGTTTAAAAAAAATTAGGCTAGACAGATCCCGCGCTTTGCTACGACGGTACGCGGGAAAAAAATACCGCGAAATTCTTTTTTCGGATGAAAAAATTTTTACTATTGAAGAAAGTTTTAACAAACAAAATGATAAGGTGTATGCCCACAGCAGTGAAGAAGCAAGCGCGCGTATTGCGAGGGTCCAGCGTGGGCATTACCCTTCCTCATTCATGGTTTGGCTTGGAGTCTCATATTCAGGCGTAACTGAGGTGTTTTTCTGTGAAAAAGGTGTGAGAACTAGTGCCGAAGTTTATCAAAATACTGTCCTAACAAACATAGTGGAACCTCTTTCTCAGACAATGTTCAGGAACAGGCATTGGATATTCCAACAGGACTCTGCACCGGCTCATAAGGCACGAAGTACGCAAGACTGGTTGATCGCTCGTGGAATTGACTTCATCCGGCATGAAGACTGGCCCTCTTCTAGTCCAGATTTAAACCCACTGGACTACAAGATATGGCAATATTTGGAGGAAAAAGTCTGTGCTAAACCTCACCCGAATTTGGAGTCTCTCCGAGCATCTCTGGTTAAAGCAGCGGCAGACATAGATATGAATGTGGTGCGTGCAGCGATCGATGACTGGCCGCGTAGATTAAGGGCATGTGTTCAAAATGGGGGAGGGCATTTCGAATAATGTAAATAAAATTATATTGTACATTTAATGACCTTTCATTTCATATATAATTTTTAAATAATTGTCAAAAGGCGTATAAGTTATTACATCAAAAGTTTGTGACAGAACTTATGACCCGACTAAGTATTGTATGTTAATGAAGTTGGTTTAAAAGTGCTATTTATGCTGTGGTTACTTTAAAGTTTTGTGCCTGTTAGTTCTGTATAATCCTGGAGATCCGGTTCATTCCTGAGGGTTCTACCTTTCAATTAATGATCTTAAACTTACCTTAAGAACGTAACCATCAAAAGTGGATGTGTGGATTTCGAATCTCATTTCTAATACCCTGTCATTTGCTTTAATTGCTTTCATGGTAATAAAACATTAGTACCAAAACTGTTTCTGACGATGTAAATGTCCACTCCAATTGCACCGTGGCTTTGGCTGATTCTTATGGGAATCTGTTTTCCAATCCCGTAAAGAAAAAGAAAAGAAACATCCAATCGCCATGTCACCATAACATGTGTTAGACAGAGTCAGAAACATTTGCAACATTACACACGCAAAAATGTTTCTCGCGAATGATCTCCCGCTAGCTACGCATTACGCGCACTTATTCATTACAGCTCGGATATTAATCTATGCAAATTGTCCTGCCCAATGATCTAGACAATATGATCATTAGAAAGCACACGCATTTAATATCATCTGAGAAACTGTGCTACAGTAGTCACACACACTTTCCATACGACACTAGCTTCCGACAAGAAAATTCTGTTTCCAGTATAAACAATGCTGTTTCTATTCATCCGTTGTAGTTTTTCTGTTTGTTATTGTTTTGTAAAACGAGAAAATATGTAGTTAAGTTTCTTCCTAAAAATTAGCTTTTCTCGGCACATCTAAAATCGATAACGATGAGTCTTTTAGCTTTCTCAAATATTTTGGGTTAAACCGGGGTTGTATTTTTTGTGGATTTCACATTCAAGTCATTTATAGCTCCTTTTTTATGAATTCAATATTTATTTTTTCTGTTTATTTATCAATTTATTAGTGTTTACTTTATCACTACAGTCAAAAGAAGTACTCAAAATATGTCTTAGAACCGAAATATCTCTGAATACCTTATGATTATCCTTATTATTATTATAATTTGACATTTACCCATCTTATAAACAACATGTCCTCTAGCGACATTCAGTTTACGAACGAAACAAATACATATAATTACTAGCGGCCCGCCCCCGCTTCGCGCGGATCCAACTATCTTGCTATCACAGGGTCACTTTTTCCTAATCTTCCCCTCTACTTTTCTAATATTTTCTTTGATAAGAACCTTCTCCTGACAATAAGGAACACAACAAAAAAAGAATTAGCAAAATTGGTCCCGGCGTTGTTGAGTTATGCGCTTACCAACACATTTTTCGATCCATTTTTATATATAAGAAGAAGAAGAAGATAAGATGTAGACAATTTAGAAACTCATCGTTAAGTCACTTGGTCAACTGAATTCCCGGGAACGTTCCGTTTTGTTCCTAGAACGATAATTATTATTGATACTGAACTTGGCTATGGGGGTTACAGAGAGAGTAGAAAGGAATATTTCGGGGTACAGTTCCCTACAGATGCAATTATGACATATCTTAGTAACAGGGGTAGTGATCCCAAAGAGTCCATTATGAAACTATAATTAAATTAATTAAGCGTGCCACCTTGTCGCCATGTGGGTCTGATTGTAACGGCTAATTGAGAGGAGTGGGTTACATGCTGCCGGTAAACGATTCCTAAGTCAATGTATTAGAGTTTAATTTAATTAATTTTGAACATTTGAACTCTTGCTTGCGTATTAAATATGATTAGTTCTTAAGTGCGTGTATGGCTTTATTAGATTTTGGCGAATTCTATGCTTGTACGTTACCTGTTTATCACTATAGTTAAGACTAAGTTCTTTTAGTTCTGGCTTCTAAGAGATGCAAAGCAACTTCATGTCTCTGTCGACCACAAATTGGTGATGAAAATATGAAGATTAAAAAGTGTAGGGAGGACCAAGTTTCG